TAGAGGAGAGATGACTTTTGGGGGATCTTATTGATGTATATAAATATCTGAGGGGAAAGTGCAAAGAGGATGGAGCCAGGCTCTCTTTGGTGGTGCCCAGTGATGGGACAAGAGGGAGCTTGTCAAGTTGAATATCCATCAACATGTTTCTTACAGTCATCTAGACATGGTGTTGAACATCTGGCTCGAGGTGTCTGCTTGAGCCAGAGGAGCTGAACCATGTGATCTCCCTAACTTCAGTGGCTCTGTGGTTCTGTGAACTGAAACCCTACTTCCTTCAAATACTCAGCTGTGAGTTGGCTCAGCTCTCTCAGGCACTGGTACTGAAGTAAACTGATCCAGAGCATGGCTGGGAAAACGGGAGCACTGCAACCTGTGTTTGATCAGTTAAGCTGTTGTTCCTTAAAGCCTGTTTAAAAAAATACATGTCTATGTTGGAGCTGTATCAGTTTTATCATTGGCTTACTGTTGCCAATTTCATGGAAAGACTTGTAGAATTAGTGTGATGTAGTATTTTTTCTTCCATTAGCAGTGGCATCTAACTGACAGCAGTGGCATGAGATCAGAATCTGGGTTTTTGAGTCCTGTGTAAATCCTTTTCTGAAGAGTTGCATTTATCACTGGGTGGATGCTGTCAAACAGCAGCTTTTCACTTCAGAGCTTGAACACAATTGTTTTAAATCCAGTGCTTGCTTTGGAGTGCCTGGTTAATCTTTGTGGGAAACTGTGGTTCCCTTCCTCATTTCTTTAAATATTATTGCCTGCTCAGCTGTGCTGGAGTGGCCTGAAGAGCCCATAGGTGCTGATGAATATGTTGACTGATAAACACAAAGTGCAGTCAAATATTCAGAATAGACAACTATTCCTTCTGCTGTCCTCTCTGCAATTCCAGGTACTTTGAAGGTTTTTCTTCTTTTGGGTCAGTCATTTGATCTATACACTGATATTTCCAAACCACCTTAGCTATAAACTGTTTCCTAAATTTTTCAGGGTCCCTGGTGATGTCTATAACTTGTATACTGTATTTGTCTCAGAGTTTCAGTCTTAACTATATATTTTTATTTCTCTTAGCCTCTGTGGGTGCGACTCTTTTTTTGGAAGGAGGTTGCTGAGAAAATTCCTTTCACATCAAAGCAATTTCGGATTCTGAATCCAGTCATTATCAAAGAGACAGCTTTTGACATTTTACAGTTCCCTGAGCCTCGATCAAAATTCTGGGGTTGGGATAAGGTAAGAAGTTTCCTTTCACCAAAAGGAGACAGTAAATAACAAGGTAAATAAAATAAGAAACTGAAAAATGTTTTGGGCTTGTAACTTTTTCTGTGCAGTTTCTCAGGTAATAGGGAAATTACTGTGCTCTCAAAAGACTCTTGTATTTACTAGTGCAAAATCAAAGTAAGATTTCAGCTCACTTTTTTAGATGAGCTATTTTGTCTCATATTTTGCTGTATGCTGACATGAAATGGCATTCAGAAGCAGTGAGACATAAACTCATTCCAGTGTTTAAAAACTTGCATTTGATGTATGTTAAACCTGTTAAAAGTGGCCCTATTAAGTTAAACCAGCCATTGACTGTAGCCAGATGTCTCCAACTGCAGAGAAAGCAGAGAGCCTGGAAACCAGGCCAGTGTAAAGCAGCCTTCCAGCTGCTGGAATTGCTTTGTATGCCAGAGAATGCTCAGTAGCAGCTGATGGGCATTTCCTCCTTCCATGTCCTTTGCTCCAGCAGTGGTACAGAGTGATGAATTGCCTGGTTTAATCATACACTGCATTTTTGTTTCTTTAATTGCATATTTGAGAAATTTGATGTCACTAGTTGTCTTGAACTACAAAAAATACTAACCACCATCTTTTTTACATTTTGTGTGAAAGCACTTGAGATTATGGCACAAATATCTGAAGGGTCTTCTCACATTTACTTATCAAAATTACGTAATATAACAAGTTGAGTATCTTAATGGTACGGTAGTAAATTTGCCTTCTTCGTGGGTTTTCCACTGAAAAAAGGTCATATTGTAAAGAACACTGTTAGAGAGCCTGTTGTTGCTTAAGAATTAAATAAGTGTACATCAAGAAGTGTCAAGTTTTAACTCTGTGAGGAGCTGTTTGAATGTTTGAAGTGAAGGTTCACTTGCAGCTTAACTACACAGTCATGGGGCATCTTGCCTTCACAGGAAAAAAAATTGTGTTGACAGCCAAAAGCCAAATACTTAAATTGTATCAGTATTTTGCCCTGGAGTTAGTTTTACTCACTTATTGAATTGATTTTTAGTTGTAGTTTTAATTGATTTCAGTTTTAAAAGAGGAGAGGGAATAGTCATTAAGTTGTGTAAAGTGCTTATAAACCCGATAAAGGACAATATGTTTGAACTGAGCAAATCACGCTGTTCTCCCTTTTTAGAATGTACCTACAATTGGGGTCATAGCAGTTGTTCTGGCCACACATTTGTGTGATGAAGTGAGCATAGCAGGATTTGGATATAACCTGGATCAGCCCAGCACACCTTTGCACTATTACAACAACCTCTGCATGGCTGCCATGAAAGAACAATTTATGCACAATGTGACAAGTGAAACAAAATTCCTGCAAAAACTGATCAAAGAAAAAGTTGTCAAAGACCTCACTGGAGGGATACACTGTGAATTCTGCAGCAAAGACAGCTAGTGACTGACTTGCAGCATGGATAGATTTGTTACATTTCCAGAGGTTCAGCTGGATCAACCCTTTCCCTCTCTTTAGTTCTATAAAGTGTACATGAAATGGATGTGGAGTCCCTGCTGCCTTTTTTAACGTCGTGTTCAAGTTGTTGGACTTTTAAATTAGTTTCCCTGTCAGATTTTACTTTGCACATTTCTGTGAATAGCTATGTAAATATGATTCAGAGTTGAAAGACATCCATTTAAAGTATTTAATGTTTTAAGTTGTCTGAATAAAAGCAGGTTTTTTTGTTTTCAAATGTATATGGAACGCACATAGCTGGCCTGAATTGTCTAATAGCGTACAAGAGTTATTTTCCCCGGATCTGCTGTCTTTGTTGATCCAGTTCTTGGTATCTTGACTCCTTTTCATGCATGCCATGAAAAGAAAGGAATATACTTCTCAAGTCTTTCATGTCTTGAACTTGAGCATTGCATTTACTCTTCAAATATTTATATTATTTTGCTAATAACATATTTTGGGGGGTGAAGGACATACATAGGAGTGGAGTTGAAGGAAAAGGAATTGTTGTGGCAACAACTGAGTAGTAAGTACTTTGATGTTCATGATTGGTATTAAAACCATTGATGTATTGGGTTAGAATCCTGCATTGTGAAGCACATTTGGGCCCAGGGGACTCTGGAAGAGGATTTATCCAGGAGGAGGCTTTAACCCAAAGCAGGTCATTTGCCGTTTCCATTCCTGAAGTCCCACCTAAATGTCTCTAACTAGATTATTTGCAGCAGAATTCAGCTATCCCAATTAAAGAAGTGGCATTAATACAAAATTTGCCCCTTTTTTAAAAATTATTTTTTGAGTGACTTGAGCATTGCTGGTTCTATAAAACACTAGTTTGTATCAATCATTTAGCAATACTTAAATGTATGACTAGGTTACAATCTCCACTGGTTAGTTTTATGATCCTTAAGTAATGAATTATGGACATTGTTAACTTAATAGTTTGCAATGCTGATAACCCTTGTGAAATCCAGTATTGACTTAAATAGTCAGTTGGAGAAGTAGAGTTGTTGGTTTTCCCCCAAGTCAGTAATTGGGTGAGTGTCTAAGTTAAGAAGAAAATCATTTTAAGAAAATAGCATAATCCAATAAAAAGGTGGATAACTGCTGATAACAGCAAATGTAATAAACCAAAAGAGAAAAGAAAGCTATAGATGTATGTTCTTGGTGGTGGAAGTCAGTGCATTGCAAAAGCACTGGGCTGTGCAGATCTGTAAGCAAGGTTTTTATGTTTAATATTTTTGTTACTAGTAGCGTATCAGGTATGACTGTTTGCACTGAGGAGTGGTGTTACTCAATCTACAGTATGTGAAAAAAGCTTCCTTTGGCAGTGAAAACTTGTCAGCAAATCAATCAAATGTTGGCCTAGAAACATTGTTCATACTCATGGACTCTTCACATGGTGAATGTTCCCACTTTTCTTTGTTATGGACAAGGATATGAATGAAATTGTAGTTCCAAATTTTATACTTGTGGAAAATGCAAGATTCGGGTGGTTGTGTTTTGGGTTTTTATTCCCTGGAGAGAAGATCTAATGAATGATAATGTTGGAATGCAGGAGCAACAGACTGATGCTCACTGTTATACTAAGAGGCAATAAAAGGACATCAGATAATAAAACATAACTGAAGAAAGTTGTGGACTTCATCTTTCTGAAGTCCCATGTGTCCTTTAAATTCAGTTGTGGGAGCTTGAACAAATTTAAAAATCAGGAGTTCTTGTTTCTGGCACTGTGTTCATAGCAATAATATTAATATAACCTCCTTCTCCATGAAAAATATTAATTTTTATACTTGCAATAAATTTCTAGTCTGGGTTTTTTTTGTAAGTATATTATTTAATTAAAAAATATTTCTTGTGTGAAGAGAATTATACAAATAGTCCTTTAGTTAATATATTAAAATGTGGTAACTATTCTCTCCTGGTATTTAAACTGGAAGCAGAATACCTTAATTTCATTTAGTATTTATGAAATTTTGGAAGATTTCAGAATGTGTGTGTTGGGAGGATGTCTTGAATGCACAAGAAGTCTGTGATTCTGAGCACCTGGTCCCTCACCACTTAACTTTGTTCAGCAACTTCAAAATAATCAGTTGATTAATGTAAATGCCAATAGCTTTTTGGAGATGCTGTATTTACTGTCAAATTTGCAAATTGTGTGGATGTAGGATTAGATTTCCTACCTGTATCATGGCTTCTGGTAAAACCTTGTCTGTGGTAGTCTTTGCAGACTCGACACTCTGTGAAATGGCAGCAAAAAGCAATAAACTGATGAAACCACTTTCTACTGATGTATTTGTTGCTCAGTTTTATATTTCTTCTCCCTCCTTTATTAAAGATTTTACATGTCTTGCTGATCCAGTTGAAAGTCCTGATGCAATTCCACATACCCAAAACCAGGGCAGATGGTAGCTGGCAACTTTTTCTCTGTTCATTTATGCCTTTTTAATGCCTATCAGTGGAATTATCTGTCTGGTGCCTGGAAGAGAGAAACCCCTCTTGACACTGACCAAATTGTGGGCTTCCAAGATTTTGAACTTAATGTGTATGTGAGAACATTTTGGACTGGGTTATAGCATTGGCCTTAAAATCATGGGTGTGTCTCCTACAATGGTGTAAACACTGCAGCTTCTGGTCTGTGCCTCAGCCTTGCTGGAAGTGAGATAAGAAGAAAGCTCTGTGTGTTCTGTTGCTATTTCACAGATTTATACTTTGCAAAGAATCTGCATCATCCTTTGTAAATAGGCCTTAATAGTGTTTGGTTAAAAAGTCACCAAAGAGTTTGGGAGCTGTGATAAAGCCATTGTATTCTGCACTGAATTCTTCTTTGTAACTCTCTGTAGGAGCTATCACAGCCAGGGACATGCCTTATCTCTTCTGGTATTAATTTTTCCATGGTTCCTGTGCAGGAAGTTGCATAAGGAGACGTGAAGAGCTGCCTGACTGTGGAATGGGGAAGTGCCAAAAAGAGTCACTGCAGCCTGTGATGGGTTGGCATTGAAACTGGGTACTGAACTCCTAGGGACTGTTGAGGTGCTGATAAAGAGCTGAAGAGAGTTCAGCCTCTCTGGTGCATGGATGTGTGTCGATAGCTCCAGCTCTTGTGCTGCTGCAGGAACTCCTGCAGGAAATGGGAGGGCACCAGGGGAAGCAGCTGTGTAGCATGAGTCTGATCCTCTTGCTTGTGCCAAGGGCAGATGAAGGAAGAGCATCTCTGAGACCAGCTCAGCTGCTGTGCCTGCCTTCCTCCAGCCTGCCAGCAGCAAGGTTTTGTACAAGTGCTTGATTCTACCAGCTTAGGAAAAGGTTCTGTCCCCAGAGGGTGGCTGGGCACTGAACAGGCTCCCCAGGGCAGGGGTCACAGCCCCAGCCTGACAGAGCTCAGGGAGTGTTTGGACAATGCTCTCGGGCACAGGGTGTGACTCTGGGGGATGGTGCTGTGCAGGGACAGGAGCTGGACTGGATGATCCTTCTGGGTCCCTTTCAACTGAGGATAGTGATTCTATGGAATGTATGTACAGCCTGGTCAAAAGAGTTTTGAGCCATTTGGCATCAGGCTTGTCTTACATCTCCTGAGGTGCTGGAAGATTAACAACCCGGAGTCCCTAAGGGGCTAATGCCCCTAATACCTTACATCTCTACTTGTCTTTTTGAGCTACACAAATGGAGATTTTCTTGTCACAGTTCCCTCCTTTCTCTGCCTCTGTGACCATTGTGCTTTTCCTAAAACAACCCTGTGAGCAGGGGCTGAAGCACCCACCCTTGTCCCGCATGTGCTGTGAATTACAGATGGGTATAGAGTGTTGTACTTCAGCATGTCCCCAGCCAAAATGGTGGGGGGTTCTGCAAAACTGCTTGCATTTTATAGATGTATAATCCTCTCCACCATTCCCTGGGAAGGAGTTGCAGTGGCTCATAGCTCTGTCCTGGTGTTAGACCTGTACATTGCCATGAGGGAATCCTGCTCCAGCTCTACCCGTGTTCCTTGCTCCTCTCTGTACAGCTTATTCCACCTGTGTGCTCAGAGCAACAAAACTCTTAATTTAAAAGAATATAATAAAAGGATGACAAAAGATCTTTTTTTTTTTTTTTTGGGGGGGGGGGGGGGCGCGGCGTAACATGTGTTCCTCACAAGCTGCAGTCTAAACTATCACCTGTAGCTGACTTCCTTAAGGACATGACAGCATGCTCAAGGTAGGAGGCAGGAGTTAAATCAACTCTGCTGTGACTGCTCCTGTGGTTTATGTGGATGTGAAAAGCCAGGAATTGCCAGCACTGGGTTGTCAAGTGGGGGAGTGCTTGTTCCAGCAGAATTTACCCTTTTCTCCTTGTCAAAGCACTTGTGCATCATGTCTTTGTGGTTTAAGAAAAAAACCCAGACACACCTGTGACTGAATCTTGACTGAAATTCTGATGCCTGTCAACACTTGTGTTTTCTGTCCTGTGAAGCAGAATTAAAGCTTCTCACACTTAGAGAGTTGAGCAGGGCTGAGCATACATAGTTTACCTCCCTTTGGGGTCATCTGCCTAGTCATTTGTTTTCACAGCCTCCCTCTCCTGTGCTCAGGCCAAAACCAACTTCTTCCAAATTCCTGCATATGCCATAGAGGAGAACAATTCCTTCTTGTTCAGTGCAGCCACTCCTGCTCCTTCCTCGTGGGCAGTGAGGAGCCCTGGCCATTGCAAGGAGGCAGTTCCAGTTTCAGGGGATGGCTTTGGCAGTGGTCAGGCACTGAAGCTGCTTGGAAGGGGCTTCTCAGAATGTGGTGGGCAAATTGCAGAAAGACCCGTTTTCCACAAGCTGGAGTCATCTCTCTGAAAAAGGAAAACTGGAAATCCAAGCAGCTGCAGCAGTGCTGAGCATCAGGCACTTCCCTTCTGTTGATTTTTGTGTTCCTGCTATGCAGCTAAAATAATCTGTAGCTCAAGGAGGTCTTGGGCCTTCAGTGTGTAAGCCAGTATGGAGGGAAGCAGAAACATTGCTATTTGCAAATTTCACCCTTTTTCCATCCCTTTTTCACCTGATCTGAGGTTATAAGATCCCAAACAAACCCATTTTGCAGGAGCTGGAATTACTTTCCCACCGCCTTAGGCTAAGCTAAGGATGAGGAGATGTGAGGACCTGATGGAGCAGATAGAGAAGCTGCAATGAAGTTTTATTTTCAAGTGGTGTGAAGACTTTGGCTGCTGGGTTAAGTGGCTGCAGCAGTGAAACCAGAGAAAACGACTTGGGGGGACAAGGGCT